GCTTTCTGATTATGAATTTGACATTTGTAAAGAACTTGAAATTATCTTAAAACTATTCTGTGAATTAACTGAAATGTTAAATGATTCAAAATATCCTGCATTGAGTTTCGTGACCCCAGCAATTGAAAATCTTAAGCAACATCTTAGTATTTATCAACCTAAAAATGATATCATTCAACAGATAATAGATAATATACTAGACAATCTTAAGAAGAACTTTGGTGTGCCTTCGACTCTTGGATTATATGGATCTTTTTTTGATCCTCGTTTCAAAAAATTGCTTTATATTAAAAGTGTAAATAATATTTTTAATTGTTGTTTGAATATTATAAAAATAAACAAAGTAAATACTTTTTTTTATATAGGAACTTCGAAGCCAAATTTTAGATAATCTTCGGGAACAATTTACGAAACTTATAAAACCAGTAACTTCTAACACTATAGATAATGATTCGAAAATGTTAACTTTTTTTCAAATATTTATTGAAGAAAATAGACAAACAGAGTTTGATAAATATATTGAATTACCTCAATTGCCTATAACAGAGGAAAATAATCCTTTAAGATGGTGGAGTGAGAATAAGAATGTGTTTCCTACAATGGCAAAACTTGCTAGAAAATACTTATCGGTTACAGCCTTTTCTGTTCCTAATGGTGAGCTGTTCCCAGATGAAAAAAATCAATGTTTAGATTTTGATATTCTTAATTACACTGTGTTTCTGAAACATAACTTACTATTATTTGGGATTTCTAATTAATAAAATTTATCGATTAGTTAATATTGTAAATTAATTGGTGAGATTGATATAATCTAATATAAAATATTTTCAATTATATCTCACTCATGTGGATTTAATGAGCAATGGTCATTTAAGTTGTAAACAATTATTAAGTATTTAAAATCCATCTCCAAATATAATTTTTCAGATTTGCAGAATGTCTAACGCTGTTTTCTTCTTCACGTGATATTACACTGATTTTAATTATGGTGTCATCCACTCGCCAAATATAAAATGCTTCTTTTAATAGGTTGACAGATCAGATGATTTGTTTAGTCGAATTGAAAATTGGAACAATTTTTTGTTATTCGTTCACTGTAGGGATTGGAACCGTTTAACCGTATAAAAACTTTTTTATAGTGCGGGCCGAATTATGTTTATCATGGGCCAGGACTAGAGATGGGCAAGCGCGGGATTCGTCACGTGATGCGTAAGATAATTCGGGCCAATACCATAATTCCGGCAGAAATTTACAGAAATTCTGGTAACATATCCTGAATCCTGCGCGGATCCCACGCGTGATCTGCGTGTCACGCACGGGATTTTTAAAAAAATTGCGATTTGCCCATCTCTAGCCAGGACGATTTAAATGCCGGCTGAATTAAATGTTGAATCTTAAAAATATCGGAATTTAAAAAACATATTTCTCGCGGACTCGTGGGTCCGTTTAATTACGTGAATTTCTATAACTTTATTATCTAATAAATAATTAAGTATCTATCTTACGTCTTCTATCAACTTATACCTATCTGGTAATTCAAGTTAAGAATACACATTCTGGCCATTTATAAAATAATATTGTCTTAACTGTCCAATTTTTTATCCCTTAAAATGTAACCAAGAATTTTTAAATTCAATATTTAATATAATACTTTAATTAAAAAATTTTAATTGAATTTAAATGTATTTGTCATCTGACGAACCACATTTTCTTGAAATAAGGCATTTTTTTTTCAATAATACTACGTTAAATTAATTCAAAAGGCAGATGCCAACTTAATTCATTTCCACGAAATAGTGCCCAGGCGTATTTCTAGATAATACTTCAGTGGTGCAATTTTTACAATACAATTTATCAATTTTAACGTCGTAACCGGCGCCTGTCACAAAAATCTTTAAACAAAAAAAAAAGAAATAAGTAAAATAGCTGAATTGTTTCTAATTCATTTGCATTATTCTAAAATCTATTTATTTAGTAAAAAAATTTCAAGAGTAAATGATCGAATTAATATAATTATGAACTTAGATAATTTTACTCCAATTGAAGAAACAAATCTTAATTCCAATATTAAAAGCAGCAATGGGATGACTGTTTTCATTCCAAGTGGTTATTTCCCGATTTTAGTACGAAACAGTGAGAATGTTAGTTCAAAAGACATGATTAAGGAATTGCCTAGATTAAATATAAAAATCTCGGCATTTATTTTAAATACAACAGTAAACACATCATATAATGAGAAAACACTAAAAAAATCCCCGAATGCTTTTATGATATTTCGAAGTAATATATGTCATGTGGTTAAAAATAAGTTCAGTTATTTAAGCAATCATCAAGTATCAAAGTTAATCAGACAATTATGGAGTATATTAGATCCAGAAGTCAAAAAGGAGTATCAATAACAAGCAGAAAACCTTAAAAAAGATCAACAAAAACAGAATAATGGTAAATACAAATATAAGAAAAGATCATCTAATGAAATAACAACAGGTGGCTCTAAAAAGAGAAGAATTTCAGATAATGAAGAATTGTTAGAAAAAATATTGACTC